TAAAAACAAATAAGTACATAAATAAAGCTTATTTTTGTTTTTTTAAAAAAGGAGTTACTGCTTTCTCCTCCATATGTCTCAGACTCAGAGGTAAAGGACAATATTACACCACGTATGCAGATCTTCCTTGCAAAGAATAATGTCAAAGCTACAGGTGTGGGGGAACACTCTGCTCTAACTTAGGGAAGAAAATATAGAAAAGTAAAAAGTCTTGGAATGACACTTAAAAAAAATTTCCTATAGGGCACATGTGCTCACTGGAGAGACAAAGAGAGAGAAAGAGAAAGCACCCCCTGAGGGGATGGCCATGCTGGAATCCCTTCTCCTCCATTCTCTTCTCGAGACTTCGGGCAAGCACGTCTGGTGTGTTTTTCAAGCTTCTGGGTCCAGGACTCGAACCATTTGGGTGGTCATGTCAGATCCAGCTATCTTAACCAACACATCACAGGCTGGTCCCTTGAAATGGCACTTTTGAAAGAAGACAAACCACGGAAGAAATAGGTATATTTTTAAGAGCATACATTTTATAAATACTAATTGTCACTACTAGTTAAAGACCTACCATGTGCTGAACAATTACTAGAAGCTGTTTATGCAATAACTTATTAAGTGGAATTTATGTAATAGCCCTCCCAAAAAAAGTATGTTACCCCATATTTTTAGGCAAACAAACTGAGGTTAGATGAGTTCAACGGTCTGCCAATGGCCTCGCACTGAATGGGTTCAACAGTCTGCCAATGGCCTCTCACTGAATTATTTGCAGAGCTGGAGTGCAAGAGCTAGGTCATTTCAAGTTTTGGGTGGTGCTTTATTCTTGTTTATATCTACATTATTATTTTTTGGGAGAGGTTTTTGCTATAGGGCGCATGCGCTCACCAGAAAGACAGAGAGAGACAGAGAGACAGAAAGTGAGAAATCACCCTCCCAGGGGGGATGGCCACGCCGCAATCCCTTCTCCTCCATTCTCCTCATGGGATCTTGGGCACGCACGCACACACGCCTGGCATGAGTTTAAGCCACCGGGTCCAGGACGTGAACCGCGGTCGACTACATGGGAGTCCAATGACATAGCCATTAGGCCAGCTGCTGGTCCCTATGTCTACATTAATTAAAACATAATGTAGTTATGGCCAATAAGTGGTGTGGTGGCTGAGGCGCTCTCTCTCTCGCTCTCTCATGAGCACGTGGGCCCTATAGCAAAATCACATAATAGCAAATAAAATTAAATAAGTAATTCTTTAAAAATAATATAAAGCTATTTAAATACAATGAAACAATGCATGATATACTGGGCTGTCAGAAAAGTCATGATGCATTTTTGCATAGAAAAACATAGAAAAAATATGTCATGATTTTTCTGACAACCCAATAAAAGGTTTGTTTTTTTTTTCCAGTTAGCTGATTTTTTTTTCCCTAAAATAACATTTTTCTCTTTTTTTTGTCTCCTTTCCCAAAAGGAAATAGAAACATTAGCTTACTTTTTACTGCTCAATTAATTGCTGCAAGATTTCACCTGAGGAGAGGAGTAAGACCTCCAGGTGGACACCTTGGATCCAACTATAGTGTCATTACGTGTCTGTCCTGAAGCACGACCTGGAATGGCCTTGTTCGTGGGAATCGCAAAGCCATCATCCATGTGACTCCCTGGGTTTCTGTGGGCTCTCACCTGTGGCACTTCTCGCAAATGTCTTCCTTAGCCTGTTATTATTTTTAATGGCTCACAAGGTACTTCTTACTAGTACAGTTCTTGCCAACCCAGGCCATCAGCACTACCTCAGAGGAGTCTCAGGAAATCAATTAGTGAGCTGAGCTCTGTTCTTCTCATGAAAAGTAGGATAGGAGGGATCTGAGTTTTGTCAAGGTCATGGAAGTTGTTGGCACTATCTGGGCCAGCCCTAAACACTCTCAGGGAGTATCTGCACGCTCGGCGAGCCCACGTCAGGAAGAGGCCCTCTCTGGTGGGGTAAGCAAGCACTCTGACTCAGAAAGCCCTAAAATGACAGATCAAGACACCAAAATGTTTAATACTAATAATACACATTCTTGTTCTAGGAAATATGAGTAACTTAGAAATCTTGAGAAAATAACTTAGACTCTTTGAAACTCAGATTTACATCTCAGAAGTAGGAATAATAACCTCTATGGTTTTGAGAATGAAGTGAGACGACATTATCAATCAGAACTGTTCTTGTTCCATGTGATAGAAACCTAATTAGAGTAGCGGTAAGCAGAAAGCGCAGTTTATTGTAAGTAAAAGCAATGTCTCTCAAGAACATTTATGCAACTGTAGGAAAAACAGAGTCAGAGGCTCAAGTGCTTCCTGGAAGTTCTCCCTGTTTTTACTGTCACCATTTCTCTGAATGCACATGTATTTCCCTTTTCATTGTTCTTTGGCTTCAATGGTAGAACAAAGCCACCGATGATTTGCAAAGTTACATCCTCCCCAGTACAGTCTAAAAGCCAAACCAGGCCAGGTTCTGAATCCCAAGAAAGAGCTGGGATTGGTCCAGTTTACGTCACGTGCCCACAGCTAGACCAATCAATTATCTGCTGACAAGGAACAGCGATTTATTCTATTTGCTTGGCAGTACCCGTGATACGCCGATGACTAGGCGGACATAAGTAAGTCATAGAAGAAAGGAAATTGATTACTAAAAGAGAGAGTTTTGCCTCAGACAATATAACTGGTACCTACTATAAGAATATTCGAAAAATAACTATCGCTCTATTTAGTCCAGAATAAATACACTTACATGTAGGGGTTTTTGTTTGGTTGGTTTTCGTTTTGGGTGTTTTTTTTGTTTGTTTTTGTTTTTTTTGGGGCTGGGAGTTGGTTAATATGTAGATTTTTGTGCATTTTAAAAGGTTACTTTAAAAAAAAAAAGTTAAACAGATTATCGTATTGTGTTCATTGCAATGAATGACTATAGAGATAGCCTATTGTTAAGATTCAAGAATATAGACGCTAAACAATTCATGTTTTAACTGTGTGATATTTTTCCACCAAGTAATTTAAAGACACAAACAAATTCAACAAGTTGAAAAACAGGATCTTTTCTCCCAACCCTATTCACCTCTATCATGCCTTGGAAATCCAAATCTCCTATTTCTAGTCTCACCTTCTGGAACTTTTCTACTAGTCGTCTTAACCTGTGGGTCAGGCACTGAGCTTTCAGCAATGCATATCTAAGGCACTGTACAAAGCACCTGAAACCTTCCAAAAAAAAAAAAAAAAAACACTGAAGTGCCTTTTTATGATTCTCACTAAACAGAGCGTAATGATGGCAACTGAAAAAAAAAATAAATAAATAAATGGCATTTTGCTTTTCTCAGAAATAAACAGAACATTGTAAGGTTAGTCATTCATGCCCCCTTTATTCATTCAAAACCTGTCTGATGGTGACTAGCCTCTGCCCATCTGGATAAAGCTTGGGAACATAAACAGAATCATTGCAAGTAGGATCCATTTACAAAGAGAAGTGGGAAAGAATTCCAAAAACTAAAGAGTTTTCTCTCTTATCAGAAGACTGATTCCCACTCAGAGGAAGAATCTATTCTGTGTTTAATACAAAAGAATTATTTTGCTTGAGTCAAATTGTAGAAATTCAGTGGTCCTTGTCAATAAACTGTAGGCCTCAGTGAGGAATCGGATAATAGAGTTCAAATTTTGGAAAGAGACCACTTTGCAGAATCCCTTCTGGTTGTTTCTAGTGTAATAATTAATGATAAAGGAAGAATAATTCTAGGGCCTTTCGAATCAAATAAGAAATGTGTGGCTGTCATGGTTAAAAAGGAACATGAAAGTCTCATTTTGCTTTGGCTTTTGTTGCTATAACATAATTCCTTTATGAGAAGGAGGAATTAAATTTAGGAAGTATCGAATTTGAGGATACTTATAAAAATTTGTGGAAGAATGGAATTAAAGTATGAGTTTGTTTTGAATTTTAAAAAATTGAAATCTACACATAATTTTCTTCATAATACACATCTCTCAGGAACTTTTTGAAAATCCATCTTAAAATATTCCAAGAGGTAGCTAAAGGGGGCAGAAGAGTGAGGGGCCAAGTGGCCTAGAAATGCATGGCACTGGTTATTCCTATAATTCCTATGGGACCAGCAAGCCACATAGCATTTACATCGCTGGACTTCCACATGTTTGAGTCCTGGACCCGGACCCGGTGGCCTGAAACTCACGCCAGGCACATGTAGGTGCGTGGCCAAGATTCCAGGAGGAGTGTAGAGGAGAAGGGATTGTGGCATGGCCATCCCTCCAGGGGGTGATTTCTCACTTCACCTCTTGCTCTGTCTCTCTCTCTCTCTGGCAAATGAACATGCCCTAAGGTCAGAACCTCTAAATATATACATATATATAGGAATATATATTTCCTATATCATTTGTTTTCAAATAAGAAAATAATTCCATAGAAGGAGCATAGTTATCAGAATAATAATTGTCTTCAAACACAATTCACTTATTCTGTATGACTAAAAAAAAACACAAATTTTTACTGGGCTGCTTGGTTATGGCTTAAATGTTGTATATATTGACCGAAAACGTGTGCCATTTTGAGTTTATTGCACAAGTGCTTAATATCAGCCCTTTAAAAATACTGTCACATCATTTCTTAGTATGAATAGTTAGAATATTAAAATATGCAAATAAGCATGCTATAGGTGATCAATGCTAATCTTTTTGTAATAACTAATGGTCTCTTCCAACAGCCACCACTACTTCTATCCTTGTCACCTTCACCCGGGAGTCATAAAATGCTGAAGATAGTCGCTTTTTGCTTGATTCAATTTCAGGAGGTTGAAGCTAGGCCAAAATCCTTATGTTCCTCCTTTAAATACTTCTTCTCTCCTCTCCTAATTACATGGCTTTACACTGATTTACATGAATTTTAGTTTTCAAAATCATTGGTCTTTATGAAATGCAAATAGGCATATGGGAAAATTATATTAAGTTTGCACAATTGATCTTTCATCATTTCAAATGGTACCTTTGAATAGTTCCTGCAATGTCTGTCTGAAATACTCCCAGCGCTGAGTGTCATCAAGAGATGCAGGGTCACTCTGGGGAAACCCATTCTCAGTGATGTAAATTACAGGGTTATTATACGTATCCTAGAATGAAAGAGCAGAAGTTTTATTCCAAACAGATGTTTAAAAAAAAAGAAACTCATAAAATAGGTGCATTACCCTCTATCTTCTCTAAGCTACAATCCCAAAAATAGTTTTCATCAAATTGCACTGACCCTATTAACTTAATTTTCCACACACTGACCTTTTATGACTAACAATGGAAAAGCAAAACTGTGCAAATGTCCATGAAGACAGTCAAATGACTCTTGTTATAATGAGGAGACAGAAATATCTTTCTTCCGTCAGCATCTGGTGACTGTCACTGCTCCTTAACCCTTTGGTCCCAACCACAGCTACATTCCCTAACCCCCACAAGAGGGGTCCTGTAAATTGGGACCTTGAATTTTTAATTTCAGCTTCCAGGACACCATCAGCAGAGCTGAGACCCAGGAGGATCCAGTTATCTAAATCCTTAAAATACCTTTTAATAACCGAAGTCATGATACCAGCATGAAAAGGATGTCCAAGCTACTAGAAGATCTTTGCTTGGACCACTGGTTTGAAGGTCCTTTATCAGCATTACTCTTCACCAACGCAAATCCTAGTGTCGTCTTCCCAGTTCGACTCATGAATACACCACTCCCTAGTCTTTCTCTTTAAGGTCAGTGTACATGCATGCATATACCCAGCTGACCCTGTTTACGTGTGTGGCATCCATGGACACATGGTCACACATTTACCTTAATATAGCTCAGCAGTTTACGTATTCCCCATGGCACCACATAGACCCAATTCACATTCTTCCAAGATGGATCTGGAAACATGTCGATCTCCATATCCCGGAAGAGACTCTGTTCTCCTTTCTTATTCTGACCCTTGACTAAGCGAGTTGTGTAGTATTGCACGGCGAAGAAATCCGCAGTGCCCTTGACCATCTTCTTCTCCTCCTCTGTGAATTCCGGAAGCCTCGATGCTGGGTAGCCTTGCTTCTGACTTACGGAGGCGACTTGGGACTTGACAGCGTCAGGATAATCACCGTCAAGGAATATGGGTTTGGCAAAGAGGTCGAAGTGAAAAGCAAGGGCTCTCTGAGCAGCTTCCTGGTCGGACACTGAGTGGGGATCTGCGGGTTCCACCCAGCCCGCAAAAAGTGACAGGGACACTATGCCCTTCTGCTCCTTGCGGAATAAAGAATCATAGCTGTGCCAGGATTTGGCGTGAGCCTTAATCAAATTATGAGCTGCCTGATAGCCTCCAGTTCCAAAGTGAGGTACACCAGGAGCAAATATGCCCAGCTCGTACGCCGCCAGGGCTAAAGTATTGGGCTCGTTTATGGTGATCCACTGCTTGACTCGATCTCCAAAGGTACGAAAGCAAAACTGAGCATATTTGTCAAAGGAGTCGATGATAGTCTCAGACAGCCAACCTCCTCGGTCTTCCAAAGCCTGAGGCAAATCGAAGTGGTAGAGCGTCACTATGGGTGTAACCCCATTGGTTAATAAATCATCGATGATCTTGTTGTAATAGTCAATTCCTAGAAGGCAGAAAAAGAAAGCAAACATGAAAGGAACATTTATTTTTGGCATATTGGTCATACATTTTAAGAGAAGAATTGGGAATAATTTCTTTTTTCTCAGGAGTTTTTTTTTTTTGCCTTAGGGTGCATGCACCCACCAGAGACAGAGACAGTGAGAGGGACAGGGAGAAATCAACCCTCGGTGGGCACATGCATGTATGGCGACACCATTGGCCTTTCTCCTCCATTCTCCTTCCGGGACCTTGGGCACGCACACACATGTGCCTAAGTTGATGTTCAAGCCACCAGGTCCAGGACTCGAATTATGGTCAGCCATGTGGGAATCAGCAATGTAACCACTATGCCATCTGCTGTCCCCAGGGAATCATTTCTTTTTTCTGTTAGCTGTCACTTTTTAAATATATGTATACATTTAATCACTACACATCACTTTTCTTAGAAGTTGAATGTACCCAGCGTGAATACACTTCACACCAGTCCAGTTAAGAATACAAAACACATTATCGTCAACAGATAATAACCCATTTCTGTGTCCCATAAATGTCTTGCCTCTCTACTTTCCTCCTTTATTTAATTCTCATTCAGAATAAGGTTTATGACTTCCTAGATAGGATCGACGAAGCCAAAGAAGACTAGCTAATCAGGGAGAGAGAATGTGACAGAGAGGGCACGACTGGGAGGTACATGCTCCAAAATGAACACATTTGTGTGAATTGCAAATTTAACTTTGTGTTATATTCAGCATCACTGAAATTATCTTTTGTTTGTTTATAAGCTCACTTGTATGTCTCAGCACCACCAGAGTACATGCCCCAAAGCAAGAGCCTCATCTATAGGGTTCACTTCTGGGTCCCCAAATCTTGGATTAGTACCAGAAATTTAGCAGATAATAAGTATTTGATGAATTAAATATAAAATACAGGAATCAATCCAGATTAATGCCTCTACAGTTTTCCAAATCTATTAGTGTCACAAGTCTACAAAGGCAGACCCACTGAGTAGGAGCAGTAACTCAGCATCTGTCCCAGAATGTGGGGTACAGGCCAGAGACTCGGAACATTCAATGTACCTCGTTGGGAGTTTGCTCTAAAGTCCTGACATACTCCACAGGAATACCTTGCCATCCTGGCTTTCAGGATGTCATGTGTGCAACAGAGAGCTGCAGGATTGTTCTGGCCAGTAGAAGAATGTTATTAAGTAGAAGACACTTCACCTCTGCTACGGTTTGAATGTGTGCCCCAGAAGTGTAAGGGCTGAAATTTGGTTGTGTTATGAAGGCATCAGGAAGAAACTTAATCTGATAATGCAATTGAGAGGTGAAGCCTTTGGGAGGTGACTGGGTTGATGCCTTCATGATCAAGTCCTGGTAACTTTATAAGGTGAGAGAGACAAGAGCACACACACACACACACACACACACACACACACACACACGTACAGGTCTGGACAAGCACTTGCCCTGTGATAATCTTTGTCCCATTATCCACCAATGAGATCACCCTTACTAGATGTGCCCCCTGACCTCAGATTTCCAAAACTTCTATTTGTATAAATCATCCCGGTTCAAGTACTCACTTTTAAATAACAGAAAATGAACAATTACAGAACAACCTCAGAAACCAATGCCAAGGAGACACTGAGTCTAACCTAATGATGCCTCCTACCTAGGAAGAGACTGATTTTAGTATTTCACCTACTTTTGTGTTTAAGAATATGGAGAACACCTAAGCTTAGAAAAGAGAAGCTGTCCTGTTTTAAGAGACTGTATCCTGGGTAAACATTGTAAATTCATGGAGCCAGTAGATGGTGTAGTAGTTAAGGCACTGAATTCCCACATGGCCCACCACGGTTTGAGTCCCAGACATGGTGGCTTGAAACTCATGCCAGGTGTGTGTGCATGCATGCCCAAAGTCCCAAGAAGAGAATAGAGGAGAGGTGATTGCAACATGCCATGCCCCCTGGGTGGGGGTGACTTCACTTTTTCTCTCTCTGTCTCTCCAGAAAGCGCATACACCCTAGAGTAAATTCTCTCTTAAAAAAAAAAATTTTAAAAAAAGAGATGGCAAAGTCATGTGAGAATTATATGTCATAGAAAGTTTGATTAAGGGAAAGGGCCCTTTTTGTTCAATTTAGTATCATCGAATTAAAAAAAAGTAATTCTGACTTTTGCAAGAGTTTAGTCATTCAGTCTTGCATTCGTGTACTCCTTAAATACACACTGATAGAGAAACTACTGCATGCTGGACATACAAATATAAGCAAGATAAACACCATCCTTATCTTCAGAGAGCTTATTAGGGAAGACTGCAGATAAATTCACGAACAATTATAACACAGTACTACTAGGAAAGATAACACACAGCGTGTTATTTAAATGTATGATAAGGAGTGCCCACTCCACGTTTGAAACATTTGAAAACATATTATGAATGCAATGTGGCGTAACAGTGCCAAGAGTGAACCATGGCTGCCTAAATCCCATCCCCACTCCTTTACCTACTATCCATGACTGGGTGAGTCCTTGATCACTCTGAACTGTCTTTCCCCATGTGTGAAGTGTTGATAATAACAGAAAGCTACTTCAATGAATTGTTGTGTGAATTTAATGAGTTGATAAATTGGACATGCTTGGGACAGTTCTTGGCATATGGTTAGGGCTCAGTATAGGTTACTACCATTCTAATAATAGTTGCTGTTGTTATCTTTGTTATTAGAGACATCTGAGTTGATGTGTAAACAATGAATACAAATTACCTATCTAGCAAGGATTAAGCAGTGATCCAGAAAGAGAAAAAGAGGAAGAGAATGTATAAAAGCCAAAGGAGATGTAAGAACAAATACCATGCCAAAACAGGTTATTGATTCAGAGTTAGTTATTACAAGGGAGTCGGCCACCATAACTTTCATTTGCAGATACTCAAAGGTGATCAAGAAAGAAGGGGAGATATAGTGAAAAAGAGAGAGAGTGGACTTCAGAATAAAAAGCATAAGAAGCATAAGAAGAGACAAAGAAGGACACTACATAGTTCTAAACCAATTAATGCATTAAGAAAATATAGCAGTTGTAAATATGTGTGCACCCAATGTATGAACCCAAATTTGTAAGAGAAAGACTGCTAGATCTAAAGGGAGATATAGACTGTAACTCTAATTTTGGGGAGTTTAACACCCCACTGTCATCAATGGACAGATTATCTAGACAAAAAAATAAATAAACAAAAAGACATAGGAATTCATTGGTATCATAAAACAAATGGGCCTGATATAGATAGATAGATAGATAGATAGATAGATAGATAGATAGATAGATAGATAGGTAGGTAGATAGATAGATAGATAGATAGATAGATAGATAGATAGATAGATAGATAGATAGATAGATAGATATTCCATCTAAGTACTATGGAATAAACTTTTTTCTCATCTCCACATGAAACATTTTCAAAGACTGACCACATCATAGGCTATAAAACAAGCGTACATAAATGTCTAAGAATCTATGCCCAGTTTCTTCTCTGAGCACAATGGAATTAAACTTGAAATCAACCACAGAAAGAGTCTCCAAAAATACACAAAAACAGGGAAACTAAACAATCTAGTCCCGAATGACTTTTTTTAAGAAGAATTCTTTTACTTAACTTTATTCATTTATTCATTTTTATTTATTTTAATTTGACCAGAGAGGGGTGAGAGCAAGAGTGAAAGCAAGAGCGAGAGCGAAAGAGAGAGAGAGAGAGAGAGAGAGAGAGAAAGCCACCAGATTTGGGGCTTGAACCACAGTTGGCCATGTGAGAGTCCAGCACCCTCAACCACCACATCACCTGCCGGCCCCATGAATGACTTTTAAACTACTGAAGAAGTTAAGACTGAAATCAAAATGTCACTGAAACTAACAGTAATGAGCACACTACTTTCTCCATAATCTTTGTGACACAGTGAAAGCAGTCAGGAGAAAAAAGCAGAATGGTGACAAATAAATCACATCACATCTCGGCTCCTCCTCACCTAAATTCCGAGATCTGTAAAAGGAGAAGTCTATAATGCTGCCTCATGAACATTGTATCAAATGAGAACAAACTGTTAGGGAGGCCATAGCTCCATGTATCAGATTGATACAGTTCAGTGGTAACTAAGTCTCCAAATAAATGCATATTTGTTTTTTCTTTTTTTAGAGGTTTTTGCCGTAGGGTATGTGTGCTCTCCAGAGAGAGAGAGTAAGAGAGAGAAAGACGGAGACAATGAGAGAGAAAGAAATCACCCCCTGGGGGGATGGCCACACTACGATCCCTTCTCCTCCATTCTCCTCCTGGGATCTTAGGCACACACATGTCCAGCGTAATTTTGAAGCTACTCAGTCCAGAACTCAAACCATTTGGAAGTCCAGCCATGTAACCACTACACCAGCTGTTGGTCCAAATAAATGAGTATTTTTAAACAACAATCTGTTAAGAAACTAGGAGACTAGAATCTTTTTATTTTTTTTTTTTTTTTAGTTTTGCTCTAAGTTTTTGTGCTCATCAGAAAGAGATGAGGTGTGGACTGGGGGACTTTGAAGTGAGACTCCTGCCCCAGGATGGAGGGGCATGCAGCAACCCCTTTTCCTCCATTCTCTCAGGACCTCAAGCATGCACGCACATGCCACTGGCGTGAGTTTCATTCCATCAGGTCGAGGACTCAAACCATGCAGTTAGCCATGTGAGATCCAGCACCTTAACCTCCATGCCATCTGCACACCCCAAGGGGATTTTTGAATCCTTGAGAGGTCATCTGGAATGTTTTGGTTTTGCGTATTTAGGACAGGACTGATTATTTTAAGGATTAAAAGTTCGATCCCCTTCTTTCATAGTCAAAACCATCTTCTCTGTGTTAATAAAGCTCATTTCCGTAGATTTGATCTTTGGAAGTATCAAGTATGCATGAGTTAAAGGTCTTCTGAATATAAATAAATAACTGAAGTAGAACCCTCTTTCAACTATAAACCTTGAAACACAGAATTC